TTTTATTTACTGTCCTTAAAGAAGAGCATTGGCATAGCATGAGAAATGACAAGGAGAAAGGGAAATAAAACATTCTGGAGTATGAAGATATTATTATAAAAGAAATAATTCTAAGGACTAGGGAATTTTAAAATGCTAATTTTTGATACATGTAAATGAAGAGATTTTGGTTCAAAATGACATTTTGACAAAATGACATGTAATTTCTCTTTTTTGAAGACCCCATTAAATTATATTATATATCAAAATAAGGCTAAACCCATGATGCTGACAAAAATAAGAGATATTTCTTTAGTATACAGAGATTCAACTCATGCCAATGGGGGAAAAAAGAGTCTGATAAAGTGGGAGAAGACACAGACTAGACCAGTGTTTCTTACCCTTGGCCATTAACATTGGGGGCCAGGTAATTCTTTATTGTGGGGAGAGAACCTGTCCTGTTGAATTGTAGGGTCTTTAGAAGCTCCATGGCCTCTACATACTATATGCCCTTAATACCCCCTCCCCATAGTGTGACAACAAAAAGTGTCTCTGGATCTTCCCAAGTCTTCTTGGGGACAAAATTACTCCTTATTGAGAACTACTACACAGCACTCTGAGTCAAGAGAACTCAGCCAAGGGAAGAATTCATCTGCTCTAAAAAAAAATCTAAAAGAGGCCAGGCACAGTGGTACACACCTATAATCTCAGTGATTTGGGAGACTGAGGCAGGAGGATTGCAAATTCAAAGCCAGCTTCAACAAAAGTGAGGTGCTAAGCAACTCAGTGAGGCCCTGTCTCTAAATAAAGTTCAAAATAGGGCTGGGGATGAGGCTCAGCGGCCAAGTACCCTGAGTTTAATCCCTAGTACCTCCCAAAATAGACAAAAATCCAAGAGTTTCAGCCAATAGAACCAGTAAATACAAAAAAATAAGTACCTAGGATTAAGGCTAACTAAGAATGACTAAGACTTTTAAGGAAACAAACGTTTTGTTGAAAACATCAAATAAATTCTAAATAAATTGAGATATCAATTATCTTTACATTGGACTCTAGATTTGAAACAAGTTAAATCAAAATCCCAATATGAAGAAGTGTGTGTGTGTGTGTGTGTGTGTGTGTGTTACTTGACATAGAAAAACAAAGAACCAAAAATACCTAATGTTGGGTATAGTAAAGGACAAACCCCAAAATAATGTGGCCCAGTGAGAATGAATGAGGGAGTCACTATCTTTCCCCGTGACAAGACAGACCCTGGGGAGAAGATATCCATATAGTCTGAAATGACAATTTCTGGGAAGAGGCCAAAGCATTGATCCCACCCTAAAACTTACCCCACACCCTCCATCTGGCCCAGTAAAGATAAATCCCTGGTACTGACCACTGACTCCACACCCACAGACCACACACCCTCCATCTGGCCCAGTAAAGATAGCCCAAACAGATATGCTCATTAATTGAGTCACCTCCAAGTGTAATCAATATAAGCCTAACCCTCACCCCCTTTGGCTGGTGGCTCATTTTCCACCAGAAAAAAATGGGTCCATCAGAAGTGTTACTCCATTCCTGAATAAAAGCTGTGCTGAGCTGATCTGTTTGCGTCTGGCCTGGTCTGTTTGAACTAACACTTAAGATACACCTGAAGAAGAACATGATATTCCCAGGTTTACTGGGTTGAATGGTGGGTCCCTGAAGGATAAATCTAAATCCAGGAATCTGTGAATGTGACCATATTTGTAAAAGAATCTTTGTAGATGTAATTAAGTTAAGGATCTTCAGGTGAAAACATCATGGATTATCCAGGGAGGCCTTGAATCCAAGGTCGAGGGCCCTTATCAGCATGGAAATACACTGAGACAGAGAAGAAGGTCATGTGAAGATTGAGACATAAATTAGAGGTTCCATTTTATGTAGCAACAAGTCAAGAGATGCCCAGAGTTATCAGGAATTTGAGTAGGCCAGGAAGGATCCTCCCTAGAGTCTCCCTAGGGATTGCTAACATTTTAATTTCAAATTTCTGGCCTCCAGAACTGTTAGAGAATAAATTTCTGTTGCTTTCACCACCTAGCTTTGTGATAATTTGCTATAGCAGGCCCCAAAACCAATAAAACAGGGACCAATGCTTGTTGTCAGACAATAGAGGTCAAAGTATTGTGGGTGGTAATGACACAGTGAGAAACAAGGCAGCCAATGGAACAGGTTGGAGAGCCCAGTAACACTCAATTCACTTAGGGAAACTTGTTTTGTGGGAGATATGGCTTGGCAAGTCAGATAGAGAAGGATTGGCTATTCAATCAGTAGTGTTAAGAGAACTGCTTAATGTATAAAGGAAAATGAAGTCAATCCCTAAATTAAACTGATGTGCAAATATCAATTTCATACTGAGTAAGTCTTAAATGCAAAATGCAAAACCAAGATTTTTTTGAGGATAGAAAACATCAGAATCAGGAAAGATTTCTTACACAATCACAGAACGTATTGATAAGGAAAGAACGATACCTTTCAATATTTCAAAATTCAGAACCTCTGTTCATCTATTTCTAAATATAATAGATAAGTCACAAATGAAAAAAATATGCATTTATTACATATAATGGACAGATGATTCATTTTCAGGAAAACGTGTTTCTAATAAATTTTAAAAAGTCAGATGCAATAAGAAATTACAAAAAAATCACAAGCATTTATAGAAGATGAATTACAAATAGTTGATGATCATTGATGAATCTCATTAATAATCAGAAAGTGCAAATGAAATCCATAATGAGATATTATCACACGTTACCAGCATGGCAAACTGGAAAATCAAATTGATAAGTTTTGAGGAGGATGCAGAACAACATGAACTCTCATGCTTTGCCAGTAGCAGTGCAAATGTTTACAAATACTTTGGAGAATGGTCAAAATCCACTAGAGTCTGACTGAGCATAGTCTATGACACAATAAGCCCCTACTGGGCTTATTCCCTGGAAAGACTCTAGCACACATGCTAGTGCTAGGAGGCATGTAAGGATGTTTGTTAGTCATAAAGAGTGGAAAGAAATGTTTGTTAACCATGAAAAGTATTAGCAAATATTCTATTCCTATTAGGGCATTCTACGGAGAAGTAACATAAGCAAGCTCTGGTTTTATGTATCAAAATAGAAAAATCTTGAAAATATAATGTGAGTGAAGTCACAGATGAAAATGATCCTATTTACATAAAATTCAAAAGAAGCAATATTGAGTAGTACATTGTTTAGAGAAATATACATAAGTAATAAAGCTGCAAAGAGTAATTCCAAACAAGAGTTTTTACTTCTGAGGAAAAGAAAAGAAAGAACATACAGAGAGTAGACAAAGTTCTACTTCTTAATTAGGTATTCAATTTATAGTTCTTTAAAATGATTTACATAGTTTTTAAAGCATGATTACATCCAAACAAAAGTGATGACAGAAAACAAAAGCAAACATTAATAAATATTATTGCTAAATTTCAGAAAACTGAAAAAAAAAGTATAAAAGCTTCTAGAGAAAAAACAAGTCATCTAAAAAGCAACACAATTCCTCATCTGTCACATTTGATAAAGTAGTAAAAACTGAAGTCCTTAAATGGTCTGAGGAAAAATAAGTTTCCATTTAAAATTGTACATCCAAACTATCAATTCATTCTAACATAGAATAAAGGATTTTCCCAACAAGAGATAATTCATAGATTTTACCTCCCATGATTTTTTCCCGCATAGGAAAAGGCTTAAGGACACAACACAACACAAGACGTAAAACATGGGATTCAAGAAGCAATGGTTCCCACACTCAAGGGCAGGACTGTGTTAGCCCAGATTTACTTGTATGAAGTAGCCCTGAGGAGCAACCAGTTGAAGTTGAGCAGGAAACATGAGGTTTTTAGAAAATATATTTAAAGAAATAAAGAATTATCAAGACCTTGAAAACATCTGAAAATATAGTTAAAAGAAGGAAAAAAAAAGATGGTGGGGTGGGGGTGGGGGGAGGCGGATGGAGAAGAGAAATATTCAAATTTAACTCTGGGGATATTCTTTGAATGGCAAAGAATTGTGGCATAATTGTAAAAAAACAAAAGCACTGTTATACTAAACATGTCAAATACTATTTAAATTAACTGTGGAAAGGAAAATGCTGTTTTGAAATTTAGAATTGGCCTGTGTAAAGGTAAATAACAGAATAAAATGCAAATATCCACCCCCACTGTTCATACTGAGAAGAGTATAATCAGAGAAGGGTAGGACAGCTAAAGTCTTCAACTTTTAATTTAAAAAGAGAATGTCTATAGTTAATCATAAAGAATCATACTAATACAGTGTCTTTTATATTCAGCCATTGCTTCTTTTTTCCAGAATAACTGTACACTTAAAGGAGTACACTCTAAGCTAATATGTTGGGGTTTACTAACAATGTTCTCCATAATCATTCTTTTCATTTTATTCTATTTGACATTTGGCCATGAGGAGCAGGGATTAGCTCATCAAATATAGTTTAAAAATTAGAAATGCCTCAGTAAATGTAGAGACTATCAAGAAAAAAAATATTTAGGTGCATAACTAAATTTGAGATTGATACCAAGAATTGTAGACACATCACACCCTTTTATATGACCCTATTAGTACTTTCCAAAGACAAAAGTAAGCAAAATGATAAGGTGAGTATGCCAGTTCTATATTGTTAAAGAAGGCTAAAGAAAATGAACGAAGAAGATCAAATCAAAGAGTTAAAAACAGGGAAAATATGTTTCAACCAACACTTTCCTAAGCTAATTAATTGTCTACTCTATATTTCCAGAAGATAATTAGTTGTCCACTCGATAATCTGCAACATACATTTGCTGGTACAGAGCGCTATTCTAAATTTTTTATAATATTATATATTTGTATAATTCTTATAGCTGTCTGGCCTAAATTCTCCATTTTACAGTCAAAGAAAACTGACACAGAGAGACCAAGTTCCTACACTCAAAGTGACAGAAAAATTAATACATAAACATTTAAATTTTCTGTTGAGCTCACCATTCTCTCAATCTGATGACTCCTTTCTGTAAATTCTCTTGAGGATCTCATTGCATAATTTTCTTTATATTTGATATTTGTGACTTTAAAAGAGGCAAGGTAATAGAATGACTTATCATCTGAAAGATAAAATAAAGATCTACGGTTAAAAGTAACAAGCCTGCTAAAAAGACTACTGTGATGCAATCTGTTTCCCCTTAGGACAAAAATCAGTGTAGATACATTTCAAATATTTTCTAATTTCATCATTGCTGTCAGCGAAAATAGAAAATTCAGGTCCCCAAATCACTTACCAAATATTCCATTTATAGATGTTTATGTATATCACAATTTTCATACAATTGGGCATGCAGCATACAATGGAAAGTGAATATTGAACACAATGGCTGAAAAGTCATGTAAAAATAATTTATTTCCTCAAAGAATTGCTAATGTACATATATTATATCACACATACACTGTAATATGAAGATATATTAAATAAAGTATAATTTTTTTCTCTACCACTGCTGAGCTTACTTATAAAATATAACTCTATATTTATTGTTTTCATGTTCTTGTTTCCCATTCACTGTTAATTCTCTGCAGTCTACTCTCAATATACTACTCAAATAGCCATTGTCAAGGACAGTACTTATAATATTTACTGTTTACTGTTTTGGGTTTTTTCTTTGTTTTACTCCTTGATTTTTTGGCAACCTCAATTGTGTTCTTTAAAACCTCATCTTTGGCTCTACGAAGCCATGTAGTTTTCTTTCTTCCTTCTTGGCCACTTCTCATTTACAATAGAAGGCTCTTTATTTCTGTCCTCATTCTTACCTTCCTAAGGTCCCATCCTTGGTACAGGTATTCATACTAAGCACTTCTCAGTGATCTTAACTAGGATGGCTTTAACCACTATTTGTTGGTGTCCCCTAAATTTTAATTTCCAGACCAAATTTTTGTCCTGAGTTTCAATTCCATATCAATTCACTTCAGAATATTCACTGTGCATTCAATAGGTACCTCAAATACTATAATATTCCTAGAGTGAAATAATCATTTACTGCTTCCTTTACTCAAATTGCTCAGCTACCTGCATTTCTCTTTGTGAACAGTACACATGGTCATTCATGGCATGTCTTTATCCTTATTCCAATATCAAACTAATCTTTCAGTCTTTAAATCCAATGGGTGCAGCCCATTTAATCATTCCAATCTCTTACTTATGTTCTTATTAACCACCCAAAATGCTTATTCAAAACAAAATGACATTTCTATTAAAAAGAAATCTCTCACTTATGTTCTCTATCTTAAATTATAATCTACTTCATAACAATCTACTTAATTGCTCAGACTAGATATCTTAATCTTTGATTCTTTCCTAGTTAATCATCAGATTCTGACAATATTGCCAACTAAGGTTTTTTTTTTTTTTTTAATACATCCTCCTCACACATTCTGCTACCACCACTGCATGATCCAGTTCATACCCTCATCATTCTTTGCAAAATATAATAGCTTTTTGACTAGTGTCCTGCATCTAGTCTTGCTTTCCTCAAATCCATTTTCCAGAGTGATCTGCTAGGCTGCAATTTTGACACTATCACTTTTCCAATGAAATCATTATCCATCGTCAATGGAAATGACTTATGGAGTTCTTCTAGGCCTGGAGCCTGCCTACCGCTTCAGTATACACTGTCATGTTCTCCCTAGAATTTATGTTGAAACCTCGGCAAACTGTATTTGTCTGCATTTACTCTGGTGTTTTCTTTCCTTAGGATTTTGCTTTTGTTTTCACTTTGACCCGAAATGTCCTTTCTCTGGACTTCTCCAATCCTATCGCTGATGTCAACACCTACCAAGAAAGTCCCTGGAACATCCAGACTGAAATGGGGACTTCACCTATGTGGCTAAGTATAGCTTTTGGAGCTCTCTTTTGAAGAGCTTTGCCTTGCACTTGGCATAGCATCATAAAGATCTATAGATTGTAGTATAATAGAACATCAGTCTCTGGCAGGAGATATTGCGCAATTTTTCATTCAAAAGGGAGGCAACATTTCAAGTAATGTTAACAAAAAGAATAGTATCTTAAACTTTTTAAAGTAATGAAATAATAAATAATTAAGTATTTTAATATCAAACATTTATTAAGTGTATAATGTGTCAGACTCTGCACTGAATATTCTAATTTAGTTAGACTTTCATTTTTAATTTTTAAGACTATAAATGCTACATTGTAATCATGAGAAGTATTTATAAGAGAATATACATAATATATAATCCTAATACCTAGAAGTAATTGATATTATTATTTTGGTTTATTTTTCTCTTATTAAAAATATTGTTTAGTTGGCTGAGATGGATTTTCACCACAGTTTTGAATCTTTCTTTTACTTAAGCATTTTCTTACTTCTTAAAAAAGTGTATTTTGTTCATTCAAAATTAGTTGAGAAAAATGCACCAAGAATGATATGTTTATATATATATGTGTATATATATATATATGTATGTATAATATATATATATATATATTTTTTTTTTTTTTAAAACAAATATATACTATGTGACAATTTGTTGTTTTCTGCTTCTTTTTATTTTTAAGATTATGGCTTAATTCTTATTGATGGATGAATGAATAATTAAATAATATTTTCCAGGGCCTAACAGTCACTAAGCTCTCCATTGTATTGCCTTATTAAATTTAATGGATCCAGGCTACTTATCTGTGCATATCTTGATAAAATTTCATAGCTGAAGTTCTATTACAAAAAGATTAAAATTAATGTGAAAGTCCAGTTCTAACTACTAAATTCTTAGAAATTTCATGCAACTCTACAAAGTAGGTTTACGTTTTTCTCCATAATAAGAAATATAATAATTTCAATTAATCCTAAAAATTAATCCAAATTATAAAAATGTTTGTTGAAAATATAGTTTATTACATAATTCCAATAACTAACAAACAAAACGACAGCAACAAAAATAAAACAACCAAAATAAACCCCAAAAGCAGACAACTTGCAAATTCAAAGTTTGTACTTCCCTAGTTAATGCCATATTTCATGGGAATGGTGGTAATAGTGACTGGCTTTTTCATTAATCTTAAACGACTCTCAAATAGTTCTACAGTATGAAGCTATCACAATCATACATGTACATATATGCCATGAACTTTTCCACTGGCAAAAGATATTTGTAACAAGATATTTGTTATATTTATATATATATATATATATATATATATATATATATATATATATATATATATATATATTCAAAATCAATAAGAAATGACAGATAATTCAATAAAAAATGAGAAAAAAACTTAAGCCCTTAACAATAATAGTAAACCCAAATGAACAACTGATAGATACATTGTTGTTGATCAGGCATTGTTGTTGATCAGGCAAATAAATACAAATTGAAGTTACAGTGATAACACTACAACTTACACCAAATTAGCAAGTATAAAAAGATATGCAGTAGTAAGTGTGGGTGATGAAATATGGAGCTATAGAAATTGCCATAAGGTGCTAGAAGAAAGTTTGGTATTAACCATAAAGATAAAAATGACCCAGCAATTAATTCTATATCTACATAGGAAAACTCTTGCATGTGTGTACCAAAATATATGCAGAATAAGGTTCATAGTGATGTTTTTCTAATACCTAAAATATGAAACAATTCAAATGTCCACAAACACTGAATACATAAATTAATTATAGAATGTTTAAGACAATTATTGAATATTTAAGACAATGTACTAGCAAAAAAATAATGAAAATAAATGCATCAAGGTGTATGACTTCTGCAACAGCTTTCAATAGAAGCCAGCCTCACATAATATGTTAAATGCTGTTATAGTTAATGGTCAAATGGGATTTCACTTTTTTTTTGCCAAAATAAAATAAGGATCCAGTTGAAAACCCTGAGGATAAATACCCAAGAAGTTTATCAGTCTTTTCATAAAGATATGTTATAAAATTTAGAGATATGAATTCTACCAAGCACTGCTATGATTTAGGTATAGTTTGTCCTAAAAAATGTATTCATGTGTTAGAATCTTAGTCTCCACTGTGGTGAGATGAGAGGTGGTAGAAACTTTAAGAGCTAGAGCCTGGGCCTGGTGTGCATGGAGCCTGTGATCCCTAGCACTGCAGAGAGAGAGAGAGAGAGAGAGAGAGAGAGAGAGAGAGAGAGAGAGAGATTATGGGGGAACTACACTAGAAAGCAATTAACACTCTAATTTTTAAGGAACTAGCTCACTCTATATATTAATTTAAAAATTAATTTAAAAATGTGTTGTTTTAAAGAGTAAGCCTGTTTTTTCTTAATTTATAGCTTCTTTTCTCCCTATGTAATTTCTTCCTCATGAGCTCCTGCAATGACATCATTATCTATGTTGTGACCCAGTGAAGGGGTTCCTCACCAAGTGCCAAACCAAGAGGGCTGCCTCACCTTGGAATTTTTTCTCTTAAACTGCAAGATAAATATCCAATAAGCATCCAATTTCAGGTATTTTGCTATAGCAGCATAACAGGGACTAAGACAAGTACTTAAGAGTCAACAACAAGATAAATTAATTTTTAAAGTAATACCCAATTAGCATAAATATTCATGACTTTATAATGAATATAGGAGAGAAAAAAGTATCTCCTAACATTCAAAAACTGATCTGGTGCTACCAGTTGGGTCTTGAAATTCTGTTGAACATCAGTATCAGAAAAAGTCCTTCTTTGGTCATATTAGATCAAAACAAAAATAAGACCATTCTGAAGTATGTCTGAACTCAAAGACAAGAACGTTATTCAAAGCCACAAAGTAAAGGAAAAAAAAAGAAAGAAAGAAACAAAGAAAGAAAGACCATCTATCCTGGCTAATATGGGTGTCTGCTGCTTCTTTAATCCTTACTTGGAGCTTTTGCTTCATTTCATTGTACTTTGCCTCATAGATGAGATTTATTATAATACCCAATAATAGCACTGTTCTAGCTTCCTGGGAGCATCCAATCCAGAGGAAAAACATAGTTCCTTCAACTTTCCCCCAAATCACCCAACACAAAGTAAAATTTTATAGTGCATCATTGTAAATAATCTCTTACATAGTAGCTCTGTGGTTTCCTATAGGATATGCTCTTCCCTGCAACTACTAATAAACCTAATCATAGATATGTTCCTCATGATCCACAGCTAGAATGCACTAATAAACTAAATGTATTCTAAAAGTTACTGGATTATTTTATCATTGTTTATTTTGAAATGGCCCATTTTTAATGGATAGTGAATAATTGGTCAAGATTTTAATACAGTGAAAGCGAGTTTCATAACTGTTGAGCTCTTTAGGATCAAAATATCTCCAATAGATATATTTCAACCCTGGTGATACAACTTTTATCAATAATTCCTCTAAAATTCTTATTTCCATTGCAATTATTACATACATATATTTTTATTCTTCTATCTTCAGGTCTATTCATTTACAACCTTTAAAAGCAATATTTAAAAACATAATTTTTCATTTTATTATTGTCCTAGTTACTAAAATGTGATTCCTTTATTGGATCCTTTGTGCTATGAAAATGTGTATTTCCTTTATACAATTGTGTACATCATCTTAGATGACCCTGACTTATCTCAATTTGCTTATCCTCTGTTATAGTTCACCTTCTTCCTTTACTAAATGTCCATCTCAGAAAACTGTTCACTTACCCTCAAGTAATGTCCTAGTACTGAATCTCTCAAATCCTTGAGTGTTAATCTCTGTATTATTTTCTTACTGCTCCTGTTTACTGACTTGAGCTAATACACACTTACCTTGTACATTTCTGGAGGTCAGGAGTCTGAGGTCAGTTTTATAGCCTAAAATGAGTATGTTGGTGGAGTTGGTTCTTTCTGAGGCTCTAAGGGGTAAACCAGTGTCTTGCTTTTTTCTAGAGACTATCCTCATTCCTGGCTCATTCCCTGCATCACATTGTCCCATTCTTCCCTTCTGATATATCATTGTTTTTCTCCTCCTTTCACCTTTTCTCCTTTCTCTTATAAAGACCCTTGTATTTATGCATAGGGCCCTTCTAGAAAATCCAGAATAATCTCCCCATCTCAAAATGTTTGGAGATATTTGGAATGTTTCTTTTGCTGTATAGGTAATAGGATATGGAAAACTTGGGATGAGAATGAGGCATTTATTCAGTCTGTTACAGCTTCTATGGGAAATTCTTCTTAGCTTTTTTCTATTATTATTATTATCATCATCATCATCATCATCATTATTGTTAGTATATTATTTCTTCACTTTTTTTCTTTCAAACACCTATATAATTGGGTCTGGGGTATGTTAAATACAAAACTACTTGGCTACTTTCTAACCCAAAGGAAATATTAACAAAAAAAATAAAATTGTAGGGTGTAACTCCATTCATGTTTTTATTTTATTACAGTTTAGGAAGTGGATATTATCAATGCCCCAAGAAAAGTGGGTAGCAGGTAAGCTGAAAATGTTGGACAATATTTTTTTCTGGAGGACTTTCAAATGTGGTTTTATTGTTATGACTGGCATGGGTGCCTAAAAATTTAAGCAAAGCTTTGATCTTCTGTAATTAAAAACACAAATCAAAAGCCAAGGTAAATGAATCTTAGTCCTATTAGCTATCCATTTCTCAATTAACTAGAAAGTAATTCTGAACTTCCTCCATCATGAAACAAATCTAGTTTTCCTTCAAAAGTAATGCTTGATTTCTAGCCACTAAAGACTTTTTTTAAGGTAAGTTTTTATATATTACTTAAGCTTTTATTGAGGCAACTCAATAATATAGTGATTCTGATAACAGTATATTAAACTCATCATAGGATGAGTTTACTATTGTTTTTACTATTGTTTTTACTATTCTTTTTTTATATATGTTTATATATGTTACTTATCATAGGATGAGTTTAAGGATTGTTTTTACTATTCTTTTTTTAATATATGTTTCCTATGGAGGCATTTACCAATGTACTATATATTTAAACCTCAACTGGGTAGAAATACATAACATAGAGTTAATTGTGGGAACAAAATACAATTAAACAGCAAAATGTTAATGTCACGCAGATGTAATTTTTTATACACGAAAGAATTTCAAGACTCTAAGTCATAGAGTACTTAGGAAATGGAAATATGACCTGGATACTTACCCTCAACAACAAAATGAGTAACAATACCAATTGAAATTCCTATGATTGCTACAATCGCCAACGTGAAAAGAGCTAGCCTTATTGGGTCCCAAAACTGTTGTCTTCTTTGATATTCAACTTGTGGATATTCAGCTTCTGAAATTTCAACTGGTCTGTGAGAAAATAGTATCACAATTACAAAATGCATTGCATTTCTGCTTTATATCCACTTGCTGTGATCCTCTGAAAATACCTTACTTCGCAAAATAACAATAGTATACTTAAATCTGGATAAGAACAGTAGGTTTTAATTTGCATATACTCCCTCAACACCACAATACAGTACAAATTTTAAAGTTCTAATGATATTGACATTCAAGTGACAGTGTTGCCCCACCACATTGTGTCTGGCATACTGGCAATTTGAAATTTTGGTAGTGAAACACAAAGACTCAACTTTTTAAAACTGTAATTTAGAAATAATATTTTGATGTTATTTAAATAAGGGAACTTCAAGCAACAAAGTTACATAATACTCCCACCAGTTTTACTAGGTTAAAAAAATAAGAGATTTTAATATGACTATTGTGTAAATGACCTGAAAAATTCTTAGTGGTGAAATTTCATCTCATTCCAGTCAGGATGGTAATCATTAAGAATATGAACAATAATTAATACTGGAAAGAATGTGGAGAAAAGGAACACTTTTATACTAATGATGGGAATATAAGTTAGTACAACCACTGTGGAAATCAGTATGGAGATTCCTTAAAAAACTAGGCATGGAACCACCATATGACCCAGCATCACTGATCCTCCATATTTATCCTGAAGCATAAAGTCATCATACTATAGCAATACATGAATATCCGTGTTTATAGCAGCACAATTCACAATAGCAAAATTATGGAAACAGGCTAGGGTCCATCAACTGATGAAATAGATACAGAAAATGTGGCATATAAATAAAACAATGGAGTTTTATTCATTCGTGAATAAAAATGAAATTATGTCATTTTTCAGGAAAATATATGGAACTTGAGATCATTATGTTAAGTAAAATAAGCCAAACTCAGAAAGTCAAGGGTCATATATTTCCTCTCATGTAGAAGCTAGAGAGGAAAAAGGAAAAGAGACATGGTGGGGTGGGGGAATCACACGAAAATCAAAGGGAGGTTAATAGAGTAGAGAGAAAGGACCAGGAGGAGGGAGGAGGGAAAGAAAACTCAAGATAATGAAAATAATATTGACCAAATTATATTGTATTTTGTGCATGTACAAATATGTAACAATGAATCTCAATATTATGTATAACTAAAATGCACCAATAAAAAGGAAAAAAAAATTCTTAATGTCTTGTTAAGTAAGCTATTGTTAAGTTGTTACTTATTGCAATGGTGGTGGTTATAGTGTTACTTAGGTAAGTAACAATACTACTTTTGAAGATCATGGTTCTTTGCATTCCATTAGCATCTCCCAGTGAAATCACAACTTGTGAATTAACTTGATAGAACTCTAGTATTCAAAACACCAATTATCTTCACTCAACTCTTACCTATGCCCACTTGTGCACTACCTTCTCTTCCCACATCTTATATCATTTATATTATCTTTTCCCAACTTATAAGTTGTCATTTATTTACTTTATTTTCTGAGTCCCCAAAACAGTATTCAATATTATGATATTTTGCAAGTGAGTTTCTTAAAAAGTTTTTGTACTTTTAATTTTTATTTAGTAAATACATATTATAAATTTTCATTAAATTATATAATGGAAAATCCTTAGAATAGAATCTATCACATCAGGATAATGTTTCAGAAACAGTTCTAGATCTCTAGAAGTATGAAGATTTCAAAATATTCTCTTTGCCGTTAAGACATTTACATTTGGAAAGGGGAGAAAGATATGGAAACAAGGATTTACAGTGTGAACTGTAAGATGACACTACTAAACATAGAGGAATAAAAGCAGACCAGATTGGGGGAAAAAAAAGAAACAAGAACAGAGAAAATAGCATGTAGAACAACAGAAATAAACAAAAAGGATAGGGTATGAAAAACCATTCATTACTAATAATGAATACTGGAAATAAAAATAAAACATGGGTTTGCAAAGTATGTACAGACTATAAGTCTTTCCCAGCACATTGCTAGAGGACATGGCAGAGCAAGTGGCTGTAGAGTTTATGAGGACATTCGTAACCCAAAGGAAAGGGTTAGAAATTTACCCTGCAGGAGCTGCAGAATTAATAAAAATTTAATCAGACAGTGAACTTAGAATAATCACAGGTGAATGAGGACAAGGATGAGCTAAGAGGACAGACCAGGTTAGAAGTCTTATTGAAGGTCTAGAGAGGGTGGAGGCTTGAACTAAGGCCATGGTGAGAGATGGAGGGGAGAAGATCAGTTTAGTTCTAGTCCTTGAGCTTTGTTGAGTGATTTATTGTTGTGTGGGATATGGAAAGGATTAATGAACCACTTATTTGGATGTTGTGCCTCCAGGCAAGATGAGGAAGATTAAAGAGTTTCCAATATAGACATCAATACTGTTAATAAAGAAAAATTTGTTGTCTTTATATCTGAGCCTGAGCCAAATGGAGAGAATCTGCTTTATGTCCTTTCTCTGTGACTCTTTTTATTTTAGTTGTGTCACAAATGCCTGTTTACATGGTTCTAATCAAAGCAAGTATTAATGTAGAAAGTATACCCCCCTCCCAAAAAAGGTTACTAGAAATTGCAAAAGAATGCATTGCCTTCTTTCTCACCCATGATGGAAATCTCTATTTCCAAAATCTATGGCAATGCATTTCTTCATTACTTATTTTATAGATGTTTTGACTGCAGCAATTCATTTTTGTTCCCATTCCCTTTTCCCTTAAGCTTTGAAGATTTCATTGCTGTACCCTGAGCCCTTCTAAAGTGAGAAATGATGAGAATCAAATTTTGTCAAACTCATGGGAGTGATAACCAAGTTTCACAACATGTTAACAATGCATCATTATAAAGATGATTTTCTTTTTCTTTTCTCATGGTCACATTTAATTTTAAAATAAGTTTCTTCTATTGGTGATCAGCTATTTTCAGTGTGGTATAACTGGAATGCAAACTTTTGTCTGATGTAGAAGTTGAAATATTACCAAATATTCATTTTTGTGTTTTGATCCAACAGAAGCAGTATGCAGATAATGGCAAAGGAAATGGTAATTACCATTTCCAAAAATTGCAAAAGAAATGGTGTATAATGTAAGGGGGGGGGTAAAAATCCAGCAAAGTATTCAAAAAATAATAAAGCAATTTGTTGGTTAGTCTGCTGTGAAATGTTTGCAGTGGGCATAACAACAAATCAAAATGCATTCAATGCAATTTTATCCAATGAAATAAATGTTATTTTAAAAATTTTTATTGTTGCATAAAATTTTCATAATAGTGGGATCGATTATAGCTATGAATACATGCATATCACTTTCTTTGCTAAATTTCATTCACCAGAAATTCCTCTTGCCTTTCCCTTCTCCCTTGATCTCCTTTCTCTATCCTAGTTGTCCCTTCTGTTTTTGTTATTGTTTGTTGTCCCCCCAACTTCTTCCTCTCTAGCTTCCACAATGGAGAAAAAAAAACAACATATGAATCTTGACTTTCTGGGTCTGATTTATTTTACTTAACATGATGCTCTCTCATTCCATCCATTTTCCTGCAAATGCCTTCATTTTTTTATGGCTAAATAAAATTCCCTGGTGACTATATACCAGATATTTTTATCTGTTTATTTGTGGATAGGTACCAAGACTGGTTCCATAACCTGGCTATTTTGAGTTATGTGGCTATAAACATGGTTATACATGTATCATTACAGTATGCTGACTTTAATTCTTTTGATAAATACTGGGGAGTTTCATATCTGGATCAAACTGTGTTTCCATTCCTAGTCTTTTAGGAAACTCCATACTAGTTTCCATAAAGATTATACTAATTTACATTCCCACTAACAGTTCCCTTTTTCCTGCAAGGATTCTTATGTACGTAGTGAACTTTGAGAATCTGGCTATGACATGTTAGATATGATTGTTAAATATATAACTGGCTAAACCTTCAATAAAGATTGCTTTATTTGTAGGATATTTAGAATTCTTAATGCTTTTAAATATTCCTAAATGGTTCCATGATTTGTAAATGACAATTATTTGTTTATTTAAATCCAAATATGAATTGGATGCCGAGTGGAACTTTTTAACAGTCTTTTATGCTATTTCATATTACATCTGTTCTAATAAAGGAATTAAGCATGTTTGTTCTTAGTTATTTGGGGGAGGAGATGTTGTATCTCTTGCTTTGTTTTTTTTTTCTTTATGTCAAAGTAAAATGATAATGAAAACCTGGAATTGTATAAATCAATGGAGAAGAAAAATACAACTCAAACATACTATTCTATTTAAGCAATCTTTACAGTTAAATGGAATATGTGTATCTTCTAAATTGGCTATGGCTTTAATGATGGAAATATAAACACAGGTCAACTGAGTTTAATTCTGACTTTGTTATTATCAACAAGGTAGTTAAATCATGGACGTCAATCTTCTCATTTTACAATGAAGAATTAAAGCCTTTAAGGCTTTATGAATGTTCCAAATAGTTAATGCAAGTAGACTCTGAGGGCAGTCATGCCCATTCCTTCATTGAAGCAAGGGCTGTGTTTTGCAATGGTTTGTTCTGGTTTTGGTCTTGATTCTAAATATAACTCTTGAGATAATCTGACAGCTTATCATAAAGAATATTTTTATATTTTATCTAGAATAATCTAAACTTAGTACAACTACTGTCAAATTACTCATGTATGTTAGTTTTCTTCATAATTTATATGAACCATTGTTTTTTGATTTGTTGCCAAATGAATAACAAACTGATCTCTAGAAGGATAAGCATCAAAGATATAAATCTGTTAGTTTTAATTGCCAAAATTCTCTGACTAGTTTAGCTGGTTCTATATATCAAATACTTGACAGAACTAAAAGACTTGAGCTTCAGGCTGAAGTAACAAACCCACGATATTTAAAAAAATACTCACATTTCTGCTTTAAAAATCTCCTGAATATATAAGCCCAGAAGTGTTTATAGTTTAGTTTGACTTTTTTCTTTAATAATTTAAAGTAAATACAAAGCAAAATGGCAGTGTTGT